GGCCAAACAAACATAGAAGGTGGTGGAAAGGGGGAAAGAGAACCCCACAGTGGCCACTTGCAAACAGACAATAAAACGCGTTAACTGCTGTTTTGCCTGCCACAATTGTTGAGCTTGGTCTATGCACTGTCTCGCTCACACCTGTTGCCATTCCCCTTTCCACACCACCCCCCTTCCGCCCACTTTTAGTGCACGAAGAGCCACTAACTAATTGGCTAAAGCAACAACAACTTTGAACCTAACTCTCGCACCTCCTCTCTCTCTCTTTCGCATTTGAAGATGATATCGTTGTATTGCAACTCACGCACTCACCATTACACGCGCACGAGTCATACACACACTTTTTAGCCCCAACATCTCTCCATCTCTTTTCCTCTCACTGGAAATGAGTTTGGCCCCAACGAGAAATAAAATGAAATAGAAAAAAACACTTGCGCTGTTGTTGTTCGCTCACTCAAATTAGCTGAAATTGTCAAAGAAAGGTGGTGGGGGTAGGGGGAACAGGAGTGTGTTAGACGGAGATGGCAAACCCCATTTATGCATTTCGTGCATCTGTCTCTTTTATCTTCGAAACAATGAGATTCGCTTTATGACAGCTTTTCTCCGGGGTTTTCAAGTCATTTAGACCAAGTTGGGGAATTACGCGCTGTACCTTCATATATAGATGTGGATTATATTAGTTTTGAACAAGATAGATACCATTTTATAAAATACTAGTTATTACAATACTTCAATGCTCGGATTCACAGGTGGGAAAAATTTGGTATTCATCAAGTATGCAACATACAATTTATTCTGAATCCTACGGTTTTTAACTTAGATCGAATTATTGAAATACGTTTTTACCAGAAATCTAAAATTAAATATTTTTACCAATTACAGATAGCAAAATTTTGTTTAAAAAACCAAAAAAATAATTTAATTTCATTCAATTGTTAAAATTATTTGTTTTTGAAATATTTCCAAGAAGTTTTCATATTAATTAAATGGTCCAAAAACATTTTTATTGAATTTAGATTCGTTTTTTAACTTTTGGGGTAGGTACTTGACAATTTTTTAAGCTTCAACTTAAACATTTAGTTTTTAATATCTTCTTAAATACTTACACCCTTCTCATTTATTTCAAAAGGGGTTTATTTCGATTTCAAATCCAAATCGGACTCCGGCGATCGCGCAAAAAAGCACACTTCGTCTCGTCGTGACAAACAAAACGCTCACGTTTATCGCAGACAAAAGATCTCCATTTTTACGCTAAATTTCATTTCAGTTTGCGCTTTTTTGTCGCTCGGTCTACCTCTTCCCTCTCTTTCCACCCCCCTCTAGCCATCTCTTTCTGCTCTGGATCGATCGTCTATATTAGTGTGAGTGCGCCTGTATTTTGCCTTTTGTTTGGAAAGTTTTTCATTTTGGCTCGTTAAAAAATTTGAAATTCAAAAAAAGTGTTTTTGTTTTGTTTTTAATAGACAAATAGACAAAAGGGTGACGCAGGTTGGTGGGTGGCTGAAAGGGGGAGGCTCCATCGCTTTGTTTATCTTTGCATATTCATAAAGCTGCGATCTGTTTACCTTTTTGCGTTGTCGTTTGACTTTTAGCTGCTTTATTATGGTGCAGCTCACTCTTTTTTTCTGGCTTTATCAGTGACACCAAGTGGAGGGGGGTGGGTTTCAAAAGGGGATTGGGAGCTATGGGGTTACCCCAAAAGGTGGAAGACCAGACAGACAGCTGCAGTTGCGAAAAACGTCAGGAAAGTGATATTTGTTTATTGCTAACGAATTGAAATGGATGCTGAATATTATCGGGGATGGGGTATATCAGCATTGGGGAGAAGGTGTTCGGAATTTTAATTTTTTAAAACCCTGAAAAATAATTATGTTTATACAATGTTTAAAATTATAAACATATTAAAATAAAAGTGTATAGTATAGCTAAAGTTATTGTAGAACATTTCCAACGTTCTTCCAAATAAAAAAAAACAATAAAATTTCAAAATCCCATCAACTTCATAATTTACAAGAAATCATAAACCTTAATCCTTCTGCCACAGTTCATTGAACCCTCCTCAGATTCATCTATCCAGATTTTCCCACAAACAAACTTTAGGCACAATATTCATTTGCCATAAATAAGTCACCACAACCCGGGGTCCCCAAAATCAGTCAAATTGTCGACGGCCTAACCCAAAGATCTTCATCATAGTAACCCCAACTGGAGCCATAGCTACCCACGAAAAAAACTGCACCGATCAAGCGCGAAATTTGGCACAAATAAAATAAAATAATCAAAAATAAAGACCCAATGGGTTGCTTTTTTCCTTGGATTATTTTTTTGGGTAGGGAGAGGGTCAAGCGAGGCAGTTACCCTCCCGTTTTGTTGCTGTCCATGTTTTTCGGCTATTTTTTGTTTCATTTTTATTCCCTCGATCTTTGTTATCGAGAGCCAGAAAGCCAAAGCCCAAAAACGAAGGCACACAAAAGGCCCTAAATGCGCGTCTATTTTGTTACAATTTAAGACGCTTATTAGAAATCGTTTGCAAATTGTTTAGCAAGAAAGCTGGCACGAACGATCGTCGTTTTGGGAGCAGCGATCAGCGAGTTGGTTTTCGGATTCGGTTTTTGGAGTCTGGGATCTGGGATCTCGGACCCTGTGCATCTGGTAACCCGAGACTGGAGCAAACGGCTGTGGAGGAAGTGGAGCCACGATATGCGTGCATATTAATTTTCGTATATTTACGTTGGCCCGATCTATAGGATTGGGCTGGGATCTCTCTATGCACTGCACAAAAAACATGGCTAAAATGTTTAAACATTTTTAATACAACAAAAACCTGAAGCTAGTGACAAGATAGATACAAATAAATATTATTTTAACATTTAATATTTGTTTATAAATATACATTTCCCTCTATACACTCCGCAAAAATAGATATAATTTGCTAAAATATTTCAAAGTTGTAAACCCAACTATAACCTTTACTAATTTCCTAATCAAATTACCTGTTAGATAATAATACTAAGGGTCAAAATAAAATCGGATTTAATTTTTGATAAATATGTAGACATCATCTCTTCAAACCATAATCATTTAAATGGAAATATTTTGCTGATCTGTTAAATGATTACATTTAAAACCTTAAAAAAAGACTTAACTTAAAATAAATAATAAGGACTTGCAAATTTTCAGATCTTAAAATGTTAAAGTAATTCAGTTAATGTAATAAATAATGTACATTTAGTTAACCTTTTTCAGCTTCATTATAAATTGTTCTATCCTTTTCTCAGTGTACACACGTGAAACTTGACTGAGACTTGTTGCTGCCGTTGCTGGTTGGGTTTCGCTGCTTTTCTAGCTGCCTGATGATCTAATTTGGCAACAATTGTCGTGGTCGTCGATCGCTGATGCCGACGATCGTGGATCGACTGGATCGGGATCCCCAGTCCCCATCCTCGATCACCAAACCCCCAATCCCTATCCCCACATCCCCATCCCCACACACATGTGTGAGCTCTTTCTGGGCCTTTGGATCGATTGATCTCGATAATGAGTTTCGTTTCGTTTCGTTTGGCTCCAGAGGACGCACCCATAATTTCGTATGCTCTGTCACCCGAACGATACCTTTGCGACGACGATTATGATTATGATTTCCCCGCGCTTTTCCGCTTGGCTGGATACTGGGATGCATCGATCACACTTGGCGATCTCCAAGTCACTATTTTCACTGCTCTCTCATTAAGACGGGGGGGCTCATGGCTCATGTCTAATAAGACGACTTTTTCGATGGGGGCGCGGACCTACTGGGGCTTGAAGTTTGGCTTTTGATTTAGTGACTGCCATTTTGTACTCGTCGTACGTGTACCGAAATTTAAATATAATTTATGATCAGCTCGGCATATAAAGTGCGCCTTTTGCTGGGCAGGCCATAAAATGTCGCGAATGGCTGATTGGGGGTTCTCATTTCTCGATCCACTCGCTTCGATTTGTTTATTTGTTCGGAATGAAGAGCATGACCCAAAAAGGAAAACAGAATGTGGGGATATGTGGAGAACATTGGAAGACCATTCACGATTATTCTAGATTCCATTGAACTTTTTGGCGGAAGTAGAAATTGATTATTAATTGTGGTTGGGCAATTGAAACTGTAGTTAAACCTCCAAGTAATAAATATTTATAAGTCTGCTGAACGAAAAAGTAACTTCTTATTTTTTTAAAATATTTTTTTCTTGTTTTATACAACGCATTTTTCAACCTTTTTTTTAAAGAACTTAAGACAGCAATTTTTAAGAGTACGAACGAGTACTGAAGTCCCTAAATAAAACTATATCAATAAAAGGATCGCTTTATAGTAAAATTTAAGATTATACTGTTATTATTGTAATTCGGAAAACTCCGAGATTTTACTTTAAATAAATCGAAAATTGTATCCATTTATTTTTTTAAAATTTTAAACTAAAATATCGACGTTATATCTGAAATGAAAATTGCTGAAAAGAAGACTCCCAACCCACCCGTAAAAATAAAATCAGTTTCAAGTTCTTTTCGTATGTAAATAAAATGTATTTTCTTCTTTCTTCGCTTGATGCAATAAATTACTTAGAATTACAAAACATTTTCGTATCAAAATATTTGTTGCTCGCTTATCTTCACTTAGCTTACAGTAGAACATTTTCAATGTATATGCGAAGAAGTAGGGGTCATATCAAAAATATTTTACGGTCTACAGCTAGGCTAAAAATACTATCGTATAAAATAGAGAGATGTTGTAAATGTCTTGCTAACGATTGTCTGGCGTTTCGATTGTTTCTCAGCTTAAAGTCTACAGTTAGACATAATACATTATGTACAGGATAAATCGTAGAATACTTTACAAAGTTCATCTTTAGGATATGGGCACACACTCTAAAATGGTTTGAATTAATCAAATTGGGGCTGGTTACAAAAGTTACAAAAGGGGTATACAAATTAAAATGTAATTTTTAATTTTCTCTTTTTTTCATGCGGAGAAAATGCTGACTAGAAAATAAAAATAAGTGAAATTCTGCTTGAAGTTGTGTGTCTGCACTGGGATTTTTTGTTTTCTTTTTTTTTCGGGAACTTGGAGCCGCCTAAGAGAGCTAGGAACTAATTTTTGGTGGAACATGGCTGGGATCTCAGCTATATAGTGTATATATAACCTATTGCTCGGCGTAGCCGGCATAGTTGAGTTCGCTGCTGCTGCTGTTGGGGGATCCTCCCGCATTGCCGCCAGGACATCCGCCCTCCGAATGTTTGGTTAGCAGGGACATCCTGGAAAAGGTCTTCGAACAACTGGTGCAGGAGTACTTCTTGATGTCCGAGTGGGTCTGCAGATGGGCTCGCAGATTCGAGCGATCGGCAAAGGCCCTGTGGCAATGCTGGCAGCTGAAGGGCTTCTCTCCCGTATGAGTGCGAATGTGTCCCTGGAGGAGCCAGGGTCTCGAGAAGGCCTTGCCGCACAGATTGCACTTGCAGGGCAGCGTGTGGGTGCGAATGTGCATCTTGAGGGCGCCCAGGGAAACGTAGGTCTTGTCGCAGTCCTTGCAGCTGAAGGACTTCTTCACCTGGTTGCCCTCGGCGGCGGGGCAATGGAACTGCTGGTGTTTGGTCAGTCCGGAGAAGGTGGAGTAGGACTTCTGGCAATCGGGGCACTGGTAGCGCGGCGGCTGGCTCTTGTCCTTCTTGCTCGGACTGGGCAGCAAAGCAGGAGAGGATTCCCCTGTCTTAACGGGAGGGAGTTCCCCAAGCTGCTGGCTCTTCTGGCTCAGGTTCAGGTTCTTGTGCTTCAGCGAGAGATCCTCGGGCAGCGAGGAACTGCAGCTGGACTCGGGAGTCATCGAGCGCATGGAGTAGTAGGAGTTCTCCGAATAGGCCGGTGAGATTGGCGCATGGTGATGATGGGGATAGCCACCGAGATTCGGGTAGCCGGCCATCTGGGGATAGGGCAGAAAGCGATGCTGCCTCACGCCAATGGGTCGGTGGATTATTTCCGATCTCATGGGCGGCGAAACGGAGCTGGCGCGTCCATGAAGATAGTGATGTGGTGGCGGCGACAGGGAGCCCAGCGAGTCACTGGGAGAACTGGGTGCAATCAAATCGCCACGCAGTGGGGAAATCTGATGGCCAGCCGGCTGATTGATGGTCCTATAGAATTCGGCGGTATAGGGGGACATGTGGAAGTTCCAGGGATATTTGGGGTATGTAGGCGTGGGCACGACGACGGAGGCGGCAGCAGCGGCGGCCACGGCGGCGGCAGCAGCCAAAGCTGCAGCCTGATTTTGATTGGGATCCGAGTCCACATCCACGTCCACATCCTCGTCCTCCTCCTCGTCGATGTGCTCGTCGTCCGTGTGATCCACATCCACGCCCTCGTCCTCGCAGCAATCGCTCACGTTGATCAGCTCCTCGGAGGGATTGTCCTCCAGAATCTCCATTTTCTTCACGCACAGATCCTGCGGCTCGTTCGGTGTATTAGTTTGTGGCGCCTCGAATTGGTAGTTAACCGGGCGCTTTTTCAGCGGGCACTTACTGTAGTTTTTCTCCACCAACATGTCTTCCACGGAATGCATTTTGCTGTTTTTTGTATAGTTTCTTGGAATTGCTTGAAAAAGTTCTTGATTTTTCTTGTCACTTTTATTCTAGTGTGTCCTCATGTTCACACAGGCACAAATTCAGATACACAGAGATATGAGAAACGCGTGTTTTCCGTTAGCTGGAATATGTATCGGTTATGCGTAGGTTATGTTCGGTTTAAGGGAGAGCTGGTTATGTCAATCGGTTAGAGTCTGAGAAGAACTGAGCGAGTTTGGCGGTGGTGCGGCCTTTTTATACCGCCTGCCCTTCGGCTGCACTCGGCTCTGCGCACGAAGCTGGCGAAAGAGAGCGGCGTGCAAGAGAGCTCTCGCACCGAGAGAGCGTGCATGTTCATGCAGGTAGCTGCGTGTCGACCAATCGCCGTGCTCGGCGCGAAAACAGGTTTCGTCTTGTTTATGTACGAATGCCTCACGTGCCGACTTCGTACACTTGCACCAATCGAAGCCGCAAACGAAGCGATGCCGTTATAATTGCACTGGTGTGGACTATATAATCTAAGCTCCTTACCTGTGTGCGTTGTGCTCTCTGCAGCTGCGCACTCTCTTTAAGTCGGAATTCAATGCGCAATAAGGAGACAGACGATCTTACCTAAGAATTTACTTAGAAATTTAGGGAAAACCTAACTTTTAGAGGATTAGCGAAGAGGGTTTCCATTTGCCTCATTATCATTATCAGGTGCATCATTAGTCGACCTGATAACTGAAGCGCAAAAAAACGGGCAGGTACGGGCAGGTCAACTTAATGTCAAAGGGTCTCAAGTCACAGATCAGGTAGCATTCGGCATTAATGAACCGTTTTTTGTTCCCCCGAAAGGAGTGAGGTAAGTAGTAAAATTACAAATTACCTGTATGGTAATTTATTGATTGGGAAATGCCAGTTGTCATGAAAACAACTTCTCAGGTATGCTAATGCACTATTATTATATTTCACTTTAAAATACACAAAATAAATAACTTAATGAATATATCATTTGAAATTGTTTTTGGTTTCCTATAGATCGATTTTATACAGTCCATAAAACGTGGCTTTACTGTATTACTTGGTATTGTTGTGAAATAATTTACATTTTCTTTCTATTAAGTTTAATACTTTAAAATATGTTTTAAGTAAATGAATAAATGTATTAGTTTCTATAATCTTGACATCCAAATCACTAGGTGAAATATTTACATAAAAAACTGTCAAATATTTAATTACTTCTATAAATTAGTACCTTAAAATGTTTTTAGACCATTTTATAGAACAACAATTTCACCACATAACAATTCCCCTATGTACTTTATCAATAAACTAATACTTTTGAAAGAGACAAGTTAAAACATAAACTATGAATCTCTTTGCTGGCAAAGAGCATTAAAATATCGTTCTCTTTGAACCGAACACTTTTTCTCTCTGTTTCGTTTCCACTTTGTTTCGGTGGCGCTCTTGATATTTTCTCTTTGGTCTCCAAATTCTTCGAGGCGCCAAAGAAGCGATTTAACTATATTTATGTTTTTTAGGATTTGTGGGAGGGATTGGACCCATGTAGAAAAGAGCATGCGAGCAATTAAGGATAGTGTTGAGGTCCTCAAGTGGAAAATGCCACACACAAACACCCACACACTCACACAATATGAAGTGGCAGATGTGTGGCAACAACGCCAAAACAAACAAACACAGCGAAAGTGTTCACTCAAGAGATAAGATAAGAGGTGTTTTTCCCAACCTCAATTTCAATTGCAGGACATAAATCATTGGGAACCAAACCACGCAGGACACCAGTGCCAATTTGTGACCACTTACCGGGAATTATTTATACACTCAAAAAAATATTATCACAACAAATCAGTACCATAATATCGGTAGGTAATAACAATAAACGTAATTTTGTTCCCAATCCTATCGTATAATCGCCAGTCACAAAAATGGTTATTTTACAAAAATATGAAATAAATTTATAAAAACCATTTTCCACTTTTTCGTAACTTTTGTTCTCTGTGTAGAACCCACACACAGTCGGCATTTAACTTAATTAGCGTTCTTATCAAGCGTTTGTCCCTGTCGCAGGGCGACTGCTGTGCTTAAGGATTCGGATTCGGACTCAGAGATCCAGATGCAGATCCATCCCCTTCCACTATTTTTGCAACTAACAGGAATTCCCAGGAAGCAGACTATCCGGGCACAAGTGCGATCCCACTGAGATTGCCAAACGAGGAACCCAAAAACCGCCAGCATAAATTAATAGATAAACATGTGCAATTCTAGAGACAGGTTCGAGTTTGGCAGGCAGTGCTGTGCACTAAGATAATTTTACTCCAAGTCAAGGACATTTTAGTCATTAAACGGAGGCTTAAAATATTCGATGTTTTTGTTAAAAAAAATCATCTGAGTGTTATACAATTTTTTCACATATTTAATTAAAAAAACTTCTTAAAACGATTTCTCAAAATAATTTAATAAAAAAAACTTCAAAGAAATCTTAAGTTGGAAATAAATTTAAAAATACAAAAAAAAAAATAATAAAAACGAGATTGTTTTATAAAAAAAACAAACAAACTACAGTTTTCAAAAAGTTTTAAGATGTTTAAAAAATAATATTACCTTTTATTCGGTAAAATTTCTGCATTTTTAGCCACTCTGCTTGCTCTAACTCCGATTTACATGCCATGTCCAGGTACTTTCAGTCTGGCTCTGGGTATTGGGACCAGTTCGGGTCCGAGGGTCTGGGCATCTGTTATCTTATCGCACGTCGTTGGCTTGGCTGTGGTTATATGGCCAAACTGCCCATGACGTCTCCTCTAATTCCCCTTAGAAGCCGGAGAGACGGAGTCTCTGTTTTCGTTGTCTCTGCTCGATAGGCTGTTAACAAAGATTTAATGATCTTGTTAACTAATTTTTTTTCTGGCTTCGTTCTTGGTTCTAGTCTCAGACGAAGTAAAAGTGGTCTGGAGTGGGCCGGGAAAAGGACCACCCACCGAAAAGCGACCATCCATCCGACCGCTGTGCAAGTTAATTAGTTTGCGTTTCTTGCCGGTCTTAAATCACACTCGAACGGGTTTATTGCGAGTAATTCTACGTTATACTTCAAGTGAGAGTGGAAATATAGCACTTAATTAAATTCGATAAGCCTTAAAATATACGTACGACCAATAATATTTATAATATAATATTTTTACTCCCAGCTATTTAAAAATGAAACTAAGTCTGAATTTAAAAATGTTTAATAATGCAAGATAAATAATACTATTTTGCAATCAATTATGGAGGATTCTTAAATCCTTTATTATTTAAGCAATTTAACAATTAAAATAATAAAGTTTACAAATTTGTTTATGGGAATTTTTAATTCCCTTATTTTCAATCTTTATTTTTTTAAATCATAATGATCGGAAATCAATTAAAAAATCAAAGCTGTTAACCTGTAATCCTTCTACCTATAATATTTCCATAATTCTTATCCCAGCTCTGCCAAAAATCAATCACGGAACTTGTAAATAGGTGACCCAAATAAGCAAACCGCAGACTTAATTTCAGAATCCAAGTCAATACGCATCCCCCTTTAGCCTGCCATAACATTTTGAAAGCGTGTAAAATGGTGATATTTAAGCGATTTTTGGATGTTGCAACATCCCAGACACAAGCAGCAAAAAAAAAGCACCACAACATTTAACAAAAACATGACGCAAAAACAGGCCAAGCCGCAACAGGCTAATCCTATTTTGGAGGCAATGAAAATGAAACAAAAATAATAAAACTTTTTTACGACAAGCTCTAAAAAGCTGAAATACAGCGCGGCCAGAAAAGGGTTTCCAGAGGTTTCAGGGTTCCGGACTCGGACTGGTTGGGGATTTCAGTGCTGGTCTGTGGGTTTGGAGCGAGCAACAAATTATTAACGACATTTTAAATGCAACGCCTCTTGCCTGGATAAAAAAAAGGGAAGAGGAAAAAGGGTCACAACCACAAGTCGGCCGATGACTGGGCCACGATTTCTGGATGGACTTGAACGTGGAAGTGGACGTGGACATGGACTCCTCGACCCGAGAACTCGACTCCTTGCGGGCTCAACACGAAGACGCGACGCCTTTTAATGAGATTTGTCTGAAGACATGAAAAACTTTTGTAATTCCCTCTTTTTTGCAGGACACGCAGCAAAAAGCGACAAAAGTCGGCACTCAAAAAAATATTGGAATTAAGTACAGGAATTTTAGGAAGATCCTAGTACCGGAATTCCGATCCCAATATTATAAGTTATAATATATAAATATAACATTTAGGACAGAAAAGCAAAGGTAGAAAATACCTATTTGGTATTATATAAAATCAAGAACTTTACTTTAGACTAAAATATTTTTGTGACATTATAAAAATTTGTCGAAATATTATTTGTATTTCTAAAATACTGTTTTTTTTTGTGTATCCATACAAAAAGGAATCACTTGCCCCAACGTGTGGCATTAACAAGTGTGTGCTGCAAGTTGTGCTTTATATTTTATGCTCTGGCTGTTAAAATTGAAAATTACTTTTGGCCCAGTCTCGCAGACGCTCGAGATCTCGAAAACTTTCGAGGCCTACCGCATTTGAAAGCTGAGACAATAATTGCAGAGGGAAAATTACAATCGAGCGTTTTTATTATTGCCAGAGCAGCAGACTCTGTCACGGATCTGTGGGGATCTTCAGTTCGGATCGTATTGGATCGGTTCAGTTTGGTTTCCCAATCCCAATCGCAAACCCAATTCCACAGACCCATCGAAAGTGCGTGTGGGTTGTTGCCCCCTTGGGGTTTTTGTTTAAGGTCTTCGCAAATGAAAGTTTTCTCCTCATATCGATGCTGCAGGACATTATGTTTGATTAACGAAACGCAGGGCGAACCTCGGACTGTTGTAAATAAATTTTACAACCTTAAATGCCACCCGGACAACGTAAAAACGAGAAGCAATTGAATTGTCTGAATTATGTTTGTTGAATTATTGAATTATAGGTGGTCGGAGGGCCGAGATTTAAAGAAAAATACAACATACCACAAGCATGTAACTGAGCCAAGTACTTAATTACCGCAGGAGAAATTTATTTCCTTATGGTTAAACTGAATTTATACTGAGGAGAAAACATAAGGGCTTTAAGTTGAAATAAAACTGTCATAAAAATATTTATATTTTAAGTTTTAAATGTTTAAAGGCAATTTTGCTTATACTTTTTTTTTTGTATTTATTA